ACAACATGAAATACTCTTCTAACTTTTTTTTAGCAAGTAGTATTAAATGTTAAATCAAGATCACACGGTTTATTCACACTCTGGAAACATTCATACATCTCCAAAACAAATTCATGTAGGGTTTGGTCTATGATGATAACTGTGAGAGCTGGTTTATTTTTATAGACTGTTGCTAAAGCACTGGTGGACTAAAAATAAGTTCTGTCAAACAATGATAGTGTATTCTCCATCTATAACAAACAAATACTTTCCATAGATCATCCAAATCAGGAGAGTGAAAATGGACTGTTATTGCTGAGAAATAATAAATAAGGACTTGGTAAAGATAAGATTCTGAAATGTCTAGTGCTGTCAGGACACTGGGCAGGGGAGGTAAGGCACGAATGTTTTAACAGCCTTTGTCTCCAATGATATATAGTGCATGGGTAATATTCACTAGTTTAGAATTTTCTAGATTGGCTCAGGTTTTTTGCAGCAAACTCTGTATGCCCTCCATGGATTTTGCCCCTCTAACTTCCAGTTTGAGGGATTTCCTGAATTGATTCCTTTCACTTTGTCTTCTGAAGCTCAGTGCCTATGTGCCAAGTGTTGATAGCTTACCTGTTCTTGGGATCTAAACACAACCCTACAACCATCTCCAATTCATGGTCACCACTTACGTCTTAAATTCACTCTCACATGTAATTAAACATATCTGAATTAAAGCCTCATTTGTGACCTTTCCTTCAGTTAACATCTGAATTTTGACGCTGGCTCTTCCATCACGTTTTCATTGTGCAGTGTTACCAGGTTACAATTCTGCATCTTAGCAGCATTAGAACTTTCTTACTCTCGCAACCACAACTTGTGGAGTTGACCTCTCCTCTCTTGATGTGAAGGTTGGTACTGCAGCCTACTTGGACAGGTATATTTTTATGTCTTCCCTTGCATTCACTTATGTTGGCCTTGTGTCCCCTCAACTTAAGAAGCTCATTTTAAGAAATCCACCACACTTCTAGATGCTGTCACACTTCTCAGACATGATATTACTCCATCGGGTCTCAGCTGTCGGGAGAGTTTTCAGCAGGGTATAAAGCAACAGCATCTTCATCTTTTTGTTCCACTACATTTCTGAAATTTTGAATTTATTTTATCTCTCAGCAGGGGCAAACCCTCCTGTCTTGGGGTTCTTCCCAGAAACATTACACTTATCCAAAACATGCATGAGATCTTTCATTTAACATCCTCATCTAGCACCATGATGAATTTACTTGCTGTTCTTATTTTCTCCCAGAGATAATTTGTATCCCATTCTTTAATAAAAATGGAGATATCTGGTCTACATCTCTTTGGATGTCCCTGCTAAAGTTTGTGTATCTCTCAGCTCCTGACAGTTTTTTCTCAGGTTTTAGTTTAAAAAAACCAAACAAACCCCAACTCACTTTGTATCTAATATTCACACTCCACTTTTGGAGACAGGATACCAGCCTCTGTGTGCAGACATTCCACTTGGTCGATGTCCTAATTACAGGGTGAAAAGAACCCACAGTGACTAAGGAGCTTAAATCTGCCTTTCGGACTTGCTGAAATCCCAAACTACCTTTTCCAGCTTGGACCTTCAAACTGAAAGTGTATTTCTGAGGAAACTACTGATGAGCCACTAGACCTAAAACTTCTATTTGAAAGTTCCCAGGATCTTTTATGTCCATCCCCCTGTGTTTTTAGGCAATGGAAGCAAATCCTCAGAGCTCAATTTCCAGTTGACTACTGTTACTATGCATGCAATTGACAGCTTATTAAAAAAAAAAATAAAAATCATTACAGTCATAAATTCCAAAACTTCAGGAAGTGTTCCAGCCTCTATCAGCTGGAGCACTGTTGATTTTTCGGAGTAAAATTTGAACAGAATCAAATAAACAGTATCTAATTGACAGAAGAAAATGCTAAATGCTGCTGTGCTCTCCCCCTCATGTACATATCTCATTTTATCAAGTGTCAATAGACTCAGCTATTTATCTTTTTTTTTTCTAAATTTTTGCTGCAGTTCAGATTACACAGTGTCAAGCAAAGTATGGATAGGAGTGGATAGCATGGATCTGCAGTTTTCTTGGTATTATTTACACAACAAATGCTACATACATCAAAGCCAAAAACTCAGTCCTCATGGGAAATGGGAACAAGGTAAGGTTTCTTCTTTGTTTTAGTACAGTAATGGCATAAAGAAAAAATAAAATATATATAGACATGAATCTATGGCAACAGACCACTGAAAATTCAAATGTATTTTATATGCTACTTTCAATTCATCCTCATGTCTAAGTGATGATCAATTGTATTTATAGAACACTCATAAATCTGTCACTTGAATGACCCCACTAGCTCATAGCTTTTTCAGTATGGCTTTAGCAACCCAGAAAGGCACAGTGTGTAATATGCATGATAATGGATTATGTCTACTGAAGTCCTGCTCAAGTCCTCACAGTTCAAGTGAGATGGGTCAGTGTCTCAGCTGTTCCCACCCATATCAGCAGCTGCACAAAGCATTTGTGGCCATTTCCCACCCATGGTCCACTAAACCCTTGTAGCCATTGCTTTTCTTCCTCCTCTTTGAAAAGAAACAGAACTGAAATTCTCTGGGGGAGAATTTCACCCCAACATTGAGTATGTCAGAAACAGCAGAAAAAAAGACATATCTGCAGCTGAAGCTGCAACCAACATGAATAAAGGGAAACTACTCAACAAAAAAGATAAAACCACATTATTTTAAGATTATGTGCAATACACTGTTTATCAAGAAATAAAGAAGTCAGACAGATTTCCACTTTGTAGCCCTGTAACATGTGATGAGCATCACCTGTAGACATTATTAAAAGGTACTATGCATAAGACAGGTCAGATACTCTGAAACAAAGAACATTCTGTGCCTTGCAGTCACTAGTTTCAGGCAGGACACACCATACTAGGAAGTTCAGAAACACGAGTAAGCCCCTGAATGTATTTTATCTCTATAAAAAGCCCAGTTCTTTCAAATTAAGTGGCTTTTCAGAATTAAAGTAGTCATAAATCCCATATGGAAGACCATTTTTATTAGGAGAACTTAAGAGCAAGATCTTATTTTGGCAGCAGCAGTGAAGACAAAGGGCACAGGCAAGCCTTGGAAAAACTGCCTCAGCTACGGCTGCCCAGCGCTTCTTACTCTAACGCTATCTCCTTAGTTCTTATAACTTTACCCAGTATAATTGTTCTGACTAAAATTTTCCACACTGGGCTTTTGCCAATTTTGAGAGGCATTTTTCAGAGCTTTCTTAGCCTCCTCCAAGAAAAAAGCTAGGGAAAAACACACTGCTCTTTACAGATTAATGAGCCCCACTGACCTTTCCAACAGCCTGTGAGCACTGACACTTCAGAACGGGTGGGTCACCCAGCACATCTTTTTGCCAACCCCAGGAAAACCCCCCTGAACTTGGCCAAGCACAAGTGTTTGGACATCCTGCAAATTTATGTATGCAGAAGAGAGTCAGATTTTAGAAGCTCATTGTTCATCCTGTCCAAACACAATGCAGAGACAAGGGAGCCATGAGAGGGGGACATAAAGGACTAGAGGCAGACTCCAAGTGAAAGATGAACAGACGAAGAGCCAACACCAAAGTGGACTTGGTAAGTGCCACCTGGGCACAGAAACTGGGATAAAGGGTGGTAAAGAGTAAAGGTTGGCTGATAAAGTGAAGGGGTGGAGAAGCAACAGCAGGAGTTTCATCTAGGAGAAAATGCAGAGGGCAACAAGCCAAGTCTGCACATTCCCCTCCAGAACTGGAATGAAACCCAAAGTTGCTGTCTAGCAGACAAATGGTGAGACTCTGTATCTGCAATACTGTGAGTAATACATCCTATTTCCCTGTGGACCACAGAGCAGATAACTACATACTGCCCTGCTAAAATAATATTCCTAATTCAAACTACAGAGGTCTGTTGGATTGGAAGTTATCCATCCTGATAAAGAACAACACCTGCTTTTACCGACGTATATTTAAAAAAACCCAAATCACTAAGAATTTACAGGTAATAAAACGATGTTAGAGAAAAATCAAAGACTGCAAAACCAAGCACTGAAGGTCTTAGCAAGTTTAATTAGGCCTTTCTGTGCATGCTTTCTGTGAGGAGTTTTTGAAGATGCAATCGCATACTACAGCTTCATGAAATCCCTCAGGTTTTTTCCCAGTAAACAGCACTCTGAAAGTAAGTCAGGAAAGGAAATGCATTCTGCAGACCTTGCAGAGTTCAGAAGCTGTGCAACAGAGGAGGCAGGAGTTGAAGAACAAGAAAGATGATCCCACGGATGATGCAGTGAAATGCATTGATAAAACACTTCGGGGGTGCCAGCAAACCTGGGTAATTGTCTTAAGATCCCCAAATACTGCCACCCTGCAGAAATACTTTGCAGAAGAACTAGGGGTATGTTTAGAATATCAAAGGCCATTAGAGATGGTCATGTAAGAAAAGAACTGATGAGGTTAGTGCCTTCAAATGAGTGCCAAAAATGGGTGGTTACATTCATCTTCTTTATATGACTCAGCTCATCCAAGTAGAAAATGCAATTCTGTTCTGCAATTAAATTATTTTGCAAAGAACTCAATGGAAAAATGTCATTCTTTGAATCCAACTCTCCACAACTTAAAAATAATTTGATACAGTTGAAGGTCCTACTCATCTTCTAATGTCTTTGCCCACACCTACAGAGCTCCAGCAGAGCAAGCAACTAACAAAGCTGGCATAAACTAAAGATAGTTGTGGAAACAGGTGTGGTTCAGGTTACAGACTGATCACTCCTGTACTTTCTCCAAATGAAGATTTTTATCCCTTCAAATTGCATCATGACCCATAGTCTTCTGCCATCTCTCTACTGTCTTACCAATTCACAGTCTGAGGTAAAACCCTCTCACCCCCAACCTGATGAGAGAAGAACAAGTCAGCAATATTTAGGATTCAAAACCATATAGGACTGATATTCAGGTAGCCCTTACCTCATTTGGTGGGACATTAGCAAAAGGCTGGATGACAGCTGCCAGGGGAATGCGGGTCTGCTTGGCCATATCTGAAGTCAGCGGGAAGCAGTAGGTGGTACAGCGGATATAACGAGGGCTGGCGTGGCCTGCAACACCCAACAGAGCACAGTGAAAGGCTGGGAGAAGGAACCCTCCCACCCCAACACAAAGCAGAAAAATCGAAACAACAACGTCAAGCAACAAGTGCACATGTTACATTAAATACATGCTTTTCTCCCTCCCATGCAGGCTTCTGCCCACCTCTCCTCTTTATGGTCAGCCCATTGTCCCTCCCTCTGGTTAAATCTTTCCTTGCTGTTTGAGTTTAAAGCAGGCATTTAAACATATCAAGAATAATCCCACAATTATTTGCAATAAAAGACATTAGTTTGAAACCTATCATATCTACAATCTTAAAAAAAAATAATTGGGGGGATAGATGATATCCCCCCATATCAACACTGTATATAAAGCAAGGAGGCAGACTGATACCTACTGTTAAGACTGCTCTAATGAGCTAGCTCTGATTCAGCAAATAGTGTATCTGTGTTAACATCCCCATGCTCACTTATATTGCCAAATACAGTGTGCTGAAGTCACCACACCACTTTGAGTAGCACACTTAGCCCAGGCCCCTCAGTGAGAAACTGTGCTGTGCACTACAGACGAGCACTGCAAGGAGACACGAGCTCAGAAATCAGCCTCCTCGTGCTCCCTCTTGAACTATCAAGCTGCAGCTCTGCTCAGTTTCTTGAGAGGAATTTCCTGGATCATCAGAACTGCATTATCCCATTCTCAGATAATGCCAAAAAAATTTTGATGTGTTTGTACATTTTACACATTTATCCCAGCACTGATAAATTACTGCTGGGCTGAGTAGTACCATCAGTTTAACCTGTATTAAAACACCAAGTCTGCTGTCAAGAGCAGCACGTGGAAGATTGTACTTCCAGGCTCTAGGCAGAGACAAAGGCAGATAAATTTTTCCTTTGGCCAATGTAAGTCAACTAGACAGCTTGCACACTTCAAGGCCCCTGTTGCCTGGAAGAGAACTTCCTAAAATTTGTTATCTTAAAACATAACAGTGCTAGAGTCTAGGCTCACTGCTTCTTCCAGTGTCCATCTTTTACAACTTCAGAAGAATCCAAAAAGGATTTTCAGCTTGAAATGTAACATCTTGGAAAATTTTAAGTTAAAAAGAAAAGTTGTCTCAACTATTCAGATTACTTTAAAGGCCAGGAAAGGTAGAGGAGGTGTAAGGTGTAAGAATTCAACTCCTACTTCCCTCCTTCCCCCTTTTTCTTTTATTTCAAGGAAGTCTCCAATTTCATGTCCAATTTAGAGTAAGGAACATGGTTTTCAGATGAGAAATTTGAAAATCTAGTCTTTTTTTGTTTGTTTTTTTAATTGCATTTGATTTCATCTAGAAAGACTCCCAAATCAGCAAGGGCAGTTACCTTGGTCTTGGATTACGCAGTCAGTGGTGACGAGAGGAGGAACCTGTCCTCTGGTGTTTGTAGCATAGACCTGCCCTCCCCTGGCAGCTTTATCACTTTCAATTACTTGGATCTGATGAATAAGAAGCAAGAAGAGTATGAGAAAGGTGAGCCATGCATTCAGCTGCATTCACAAACAGGCTAACATCTACACCAAGTGACACTCTGGCTGAAGCCTAGTTTAGAGCATTTATCATATCATGTCATGAAATTCTCAACGCAGCTGGTTTTACTGCCCAAATTCCTTTCTCTCTTACTTCTGCACAGTCCCTCACTCTGATACTTTTCAGGATATAATCAAAGTTATAAAAAGCTGTATTTTGTTCCACATCAGAAATCAGATCCCAAGGATGATACCATTATTCCTCCTCTTCCCTCACAACCTTGTTTAGAGTGCATCCAAACAGCTGTGAGAGGCAAGAGGAACGAGACGGAATTTCTGAAACTGGCTGTGCCACTGCTGCCAGTATCTCATGGAATGGCATCTTTACACTGCACATGAACTTCTAATAATAGCTAGGGAAGTTCAGAAGCCTCTGTTGGAAAGCAAACAGAGAAAAAACCAAAATTACTTGCATAGAGTCTATTGATCAATGTCCAAGAGGTATTTCCTAACACACTGAAAACAGTCTGGGGCCTGTAACTTTTTTTTCCCCCAATAAAGTTTGTGTATTGCAATTTAAATATACAAGGCATTCTTCAGAGAGCTTACTAGATCTTCTGCTTAATTACTTTTCCCTGCCTTCCTTGGCATGTATACTTATAGCTAACTCCTGCATATGAAGGAAAAAGGTTCTGCTCTAAAAAGGTCCACAGGCTGAAGAAAGCAAACCACTTTCAGACTTAGCTCTGCAAAGGATCAGTGTACCACAGTATTCTGCAGCTAACTGACCTAAATATATCATTGTTCTTGGAAATAACTGTTGACAAAGCCCAGATGCTAGTTTTCATAAATGTTGTCAGAGCACATATCAACCTCTAACATATGTAAGAGAAATATAAATCAACAATGGCTACAGATAAGAAGTAAATCTATCTGGCAACACTTCTGTAATTATATAATGTAAATATAACAACAGAAATACACATGGTCACACTCATTCCTCATTCTGAATTAGCTTTTTGCCCTTTACAGACCTTGACCCAGATCGTGTTTCTTTTAAACATGTCATTTCGATCCTCTTTGTGCTGCTTAACCAACCCTTTTAACCTATTTTAACATGGTTGTCATAGTCAAGGCTGTTTATGCTACGTGCAGAATTGAAACAAGACATCAGCCCATGTTTTCATGCCAGACCTCCTTCTCCCCCTGCCCCCTTTTTTTTTTAACTTAGACAAGACCATTTTATCCTTCCAATGTAAAAAGCACCACACTGAAACACCAGGAATGACTGACTTGAGGGCATTTGTTATTTATACAGACACTCACTTTAGGGGTTTTTTTACACCATGGTTTTCAGTTATACTTAACTTGAAAATTGCCTTTAACAGAGGCAACTGCAGGTGTTACATTAACCCCTAAGGGATTACAAAGTGTTTTTTCCAAAATTCTGGGGGGTTTACATCAAAACCATCACAGGATAAAACAAATCTTTTCTAGAAGGACAAAGCAAGACTGTTCCCTACTAGACAGGGTCAGGCTTTTGCAAGAATGTTTTTCCTGTGCAGCAAACCTGCCTCAGCAGAAAGTGGAAGATTCCTGCAGTGAATTCAAGTAATCCTTCTGTACTGTTCACTGCCACACTAAGAATCCTGTTGAGAGCTCCTAGTAAAGTATCTGGAGTCATGAGTATGTCCCATGCTAGATAAACTTACAAAGCAACTTCAGGAATCAAACTAACTTTATGCACTAATTTATCCCAAACTGACAGCACAGAGTACAAAACTGCATAAATAGGAAACTGCAAACACTAGAGCATATCTCGTGAACCAAGCCATGCAAGCACAATTTTATGTTACAAAAACTGCCACCAGCTACAATGAACACAATGTTAGCACTACCATTCCCTTATCTTAAAGGCAGCAGAAAGTGACTTTTATAAAAAATTAATGCCACATTACTTACTGGGCTTGGAATAGAGTTAGGATCAAGTTTCTTCTGCTGTGGGCCTGAGAGCTGTCCTGGACCTCCAGGAAAAGCACCAGGATAAGACAGCTGAGATCCTGCCATCTGAGGACCATAGTTTGCTGCAGAGTTACAAATGACAATTTATTTAAAGTATTTAAGTTCCATTATCAACTTTTAACATCAATTTCTGCCATAAAATTAATTCTTACTGAATTTCTCCTTCCCTTCTGTTTTCAGCAAGGACAAGACAGGGATTCCTTTGGCTTATGCAGTTTGTGTTTTAAAGGTAAGAATAAGACTACATGTGACAACTCTGGCCCCAAAGTGTTCAGGTATACATTAAGTAGGACAGTCAGCAGAGATGACCACAGCTACTCAACCCAGGCCATTACATCAGTGAGAATCTCTCCCCTAACATCAGTCAATGCAAGCTGGTCTAGTTAGCCAGCTTTTTAGTTGTTAAAATAACTGTTTCACTCACCTATATCAGGTGAAATAGTTGTATTCAGTTACAATTCACTGTTGCCACAGTAAACCATTTCTGAAGGCTGCTTATGACACTACTGTAAGACAGAGAGCAGCCTATACCTTCATAGGGTGTAGGAGAAACTCCTTTCTGTACTATGGGCCTTTACCAATTACTAATGAAGTAATTCTCCTTCTGATACAAATTAATCTCCTTTTTTTTTCTTAAGTCTCAAGAGAGTGCTAAACGTTTGAGCAAAAGCAGAGCCTGTCTCAGATGTACTGACTAACAATGCAAATCTTTACCTTTCTACAAAAAGGAAATTTTTGTTTTTCCAATCAGCTGAATATTCAGCAGCGAATGGACACAGTTCCATCAGAGATTCTCTATTCATGCTTTGTTTTCAATTACATAACAAACATCCTTCCCTACCTTGCTGAGGATGATATCCAGGCCCTGGAGGTTGTCCTGGGAGCTGTTGCAGGTTAGGATTTGGAGGGACAGGTCCAGGGATCCCACCTTGTCTGGCCATGGGAGGCAATGACTGCTGAGCACAAAGGCCATTGACACTACTGGTTGGTGGAGGAGGAACCTGTGGCCCAGGTGGCAGAACCATTTGCTGCTGGGTTGGTGGTGGTGGGAGTCGTGGACTCTGGAAAGATGCCGGATGCCCAGGGCTCGGAGTGGTGCCAGGACCTGAGCGAGAAACTATGTCAGATGAGTGTCAAATGATAGCCTCCCAACTCTGGGTGGAAGGGGCTCTGGCTTTCCTCAATACACTTTTAACAGAGACAATCTTGTATCCCATACTGACAGTGCTGCACCATGGGGACTCTGCATGTCTGTTCACATTACAAATCTGACCTCGCAGTATGTCTGAACTGATTCAGACATTCAATTTTTTCCTTTTGGCTCTATTTTCAATAGAACCCTGCAGCTGGGAGGGATGAGGAAAGAGAGAGGAAAGCCAGACTGACAATTCTTGATTAGAATACGCATAGATCAGCCTTTGCTTTTGAAATATTTAATTTCAGAATGTGAAACAACATTCTTTTTGTTTAATAATCAATTTCTCTTATGTGGCATGTTTTTGTTAGTCCGCTATTTGTACTTCACCATGACAAGTCTGATGGAAAATAAATCCATTTGATGCTAAAAGATGAAACGTGGGAATTATTTTGTACACACTGGTGAGGAATAGCTTGCTGTTTATAGGATCCAGATTCCAATTAAAATTAAGAGAACCCTGGAAATCGGAGGGTTTTGAGACTTACTATCTGTAAATACTCACTACTTTACAAAACCTACATTTTTTAGTCAAATTTCTCACAAAGACCTAAGGCAAAATAATTTTAAAGAAAGCTAAAAAATAACCAAAATTAGGTTTGAATCAAAAGGACCAGTGTGTTAATACACAAGCACTAAAATGCATCTTCTGTCAGACACAATTGCAAACAAGACTTCACATGCAAAACACAAGCTCAGGTTTTCAGCTGGTACAAAAATATCACTCCAGTAGATTTCAAGCTTTGAATTTCTCACTCAGTAAAGTTACATCAACTCAGTCTTACAGCTGTGGAAAAGTCACAAGAACAAAACCCAACAGAGAGGCAAAGTTGTATAGAATTTGTCTTCAGTGGTCTAAAGGGTATCTCAGCCTTCCAACACATAACATGAGAACATTATATTTTACCTAATTGTTTTATGTATTATATCTTTTACAGCATTTACATACATATCAAAATTAGTGGTGGGAAGTAATTTACATGGAAGCATCACATGATCACATCTTTACTTCATGGCCTAGGTTTGAGATGTTATAACATCAAAATAAATGCAGATAAATTTAGATGAAAAATTAAAATATTTATACAAAAAAGAATAAAAGAGTTTCAAAACAGAGAGAAACTGTAAAAAGGTGAGGAAAATTAAACCCTGTCTGCATATTATTGCTCATGCCTTGGCTGTTCCTGACAGGTTCACTAAGTAACTTGAGAAATGACTGATGGGATGGCCAACTTTTACAGAAGGTTCATCAAACACCAATTCAGAATTAACCCAATAATACTGGTTTTGGAATTGGATTAGATAAAAAGAATTCTAAGGGCTTAAACAAATCATAGTGGCCAAAGATTTCATTTTCTGTTTACACAGAAGTTCTGTAGCTTTCTAATTATCATAGTCTTAATGCTTTAACTGAGAAAAAGTCACTCAGAGGAGACAAAACCATTACCATAGTTATTTATCTGCATGCTGTTGAGCTGGTCAGCAAGTTGTGCTGTAGATGAGGCAGGTGCGGCATTTGGGAAGGCTGGTTGTGACTGAGGACTGTAGGGAGGATAGGAAGCTCCTGTGTTGCCTGGAGGTGGAGGGCCTTGAAACCTAAAGAGAAAAATTAGTGCAGTTATGCAAAAAAATTACATCAACCAATCATAACTCTAGAAGATTTCATACCTTCTCAAGGGCAGTGCCAAAACAATTAATTAGGACAAAGCCTTAAGAGAGTTTGCCCACATTCTGCTCACTAGTCTTAAAACATACGAAGCACGTGAAGCACAGAGACTGCACACTCATTTAAGTAAAAAAGGTAGTACATGTTTGTTTGAATTGTTAGAAACAAACGCCATGGCAAAGTGAGAGTGGTAATAACTATAAGCCTTAAGATTAAGAAACACAAGCTTCTGAACATATTACAGCACTCCATCCCCTTTCCAAGCTTATAAAGGAACATTCCCTACCAGGGATGTGTGAAGAAGATTAGGAGAAAAATCTGTAAAGAGAAGAAAAGGAAGTGAGAAACTGTTGAGGAGTTCTCTGTAGTAGAGGAAAAAAGAAGATGCAGGTAGGGAAAAACTGCTTCATGATTATCAGATATGGAATGCAAGAAAAATAACTAAAGAAAAGAAAGCAGAAACACACATGTGGCTTATGAAGCTATTTCCTACCACACTATTTCACTCTGGTAAAACAAGATCTCAGGCTATGTCCCAGAGAAGATTAACACTGATTTTCCTACGACCCCTTGTAAAACTGAGGGGTTTCCCCATTCCCTTCCCAGACAGGCAAGAGAGGTCAAACAGCTCAGCTCTCACATATCAATTCTTTCAGGTCACCTGTGTGGCTGCTGCCCTGGTGTCCCAGGCCCATTCTGGAAATTGGTCTGGCTTAACTGATGGGCACCAGGTGGTGGAGGCCCAACAGGAGCCGAGGATCCAAAAGGCACAGCTGATTTTGACACACCTGAAAAAGATCAAGCACTTTCATGTAAAACTCTGTAAGAAAGCACAAGATGGCCAAGAAATAACAGTGTACAGCCCTGTTTTAGCAATAAGAATACCAGCTCCAGCTTGAGCAGAGGGGCTGGAGCAGAGACCCCTTCCAACCTCAGTCATTCTGTGATTCCCCAAGAAAGCACAGATTTCTGGTCAGTTGTATAAGCAGGTATGAAAAACTAACAGACAGTACAAAGGAAACAAATAGCAGTTTGCACCTTTCCAGCAAAAGAACCCAAGAGGGACAGTAAGAAAGAAGCAATGAACAGACAGTTTGGGATACTCATCATTCCCTGTCCCCCAGTTATATTTCTAAGTAGAATCAAGAGGTCCCTTTGATTTTGGAGACCAAGGTAAGGAGAAAACTTGGAACAACCTTTAAGAACAAAAACAAAACAAGCCTCCAAGCCTATACTGAAAATGGTTCTGAATTCAGACCTACTACATTGACAGTGAAGAAACTGTAATTTATGCAGACAGCAGTGCTGAATAAACAATATTTCAACTTGTATCCCTTGAATTATTTCCCTTTAAATTACTCTAACATAAAAAAATACCAAAACTGGTATTTTTCCCAAATATTCTAATATGCCAATTACCAGAAGTAGTTCTAGCAGAATTCTGACTATATTCAGCTTTTGATTAAAGTAACACAACTCCTGCTGTCTTTAGTAAAAAGTTTCAGAGAAACTGGGTAAAACTTCTTTTATTCTGTTTCCTGTTGCAGTAGCAGTGTAAAACTTAGAAAGGTAAGAAAAAAAGATGGAAAACATCACCACAGAAAAGTAGACTCTCAATAGAAATTTTAAGCCAAAATCATACTTGGTTGAGGTGCTGAGTATGAAGAGTTCGGGTCCCCATAATGTCCATAATGAAGTGAAGAATTAGGTGATCCAAAACCTCCTATTCCTGGTTGGGATTGGGAATATGGAGGAGCTGCAACATAACCTTGTTGACTCATGATGGCAATATTCTCATTCCAATTATCAGGTCTTCCTTAAGGATCTGCAAAAGAGAAAGTGACACCTGCTACTATTCATCACTCTCTGTGCATTTTAAAGGCTGTGAACTGTATTTTCCAAAAAAAAGATAAAAGGCTTTTGAAGGCAAAAAAGGACCTGAAGTCAAGGACAAACAGTGAGTTTGTTTGCTTGCTAGGTTTCCTCAGCACTACCACATACTGCATGAATTTAAACAAATTTTTTCTGAATGGGATTCACCTCTCCCAGGCCCATGGAGAGAAAAACTACGTAACGGAAATGCAGGTGGCAAAAACACTCAAAGGAAAGTCCCAAATTGCTCTCTTTACCAGGAAAACCTTGACTTAACTACACCTGGAAAATACACTGTGAATCCTGCTTCCCAGATACCAGCCATCCCAATGAACACTGAAATATCAGGAAAGGCAGAGTGACTGGGGTATAAAACTCCCCTAGCAAACTCTTCTCCTGTCCTAGCATGCCTTTCTTTAGCAGAGATGTGGAACAAGGTACCAGCTTTCCATCAAACCTTTTACACAAACCCCATTCCAAGCAAGTGAGGGAAGATTCCTTGCTTTTATGCTGGAGAAAGAGACAATAAAATATAGGAGAGAGAGAGATCCTATTTCCAGTTGTTTTCTGCATTAGTGGGCCAAGCCTGAGCAGCATTTTTACTGCAGAATTGCACAGTGTGACAAAATTCAGCACAAGGTCTTCCACAAGTGAGAAGCTGCTCTCTGAGGGCAGCATGGCCTCAACAGCATTCTGTGTTGTCCTTGCTGTTATCAGGCATCTTGTCCCTAAACTTTCACATCTTGATTCTGTTGTTAAAGAAAATGAAACAACCAAAAAAACCCGGAATTTGACAAAAAGCAATTCAGAAAAAGTTTTCTAACGATGAGAGCATTCACAAGTCACATAATTTGCTTCTTGTAGTCAGATTTTGTTAAAGAGCTTAGAATAAAATTTTAGAAAACTTTGAGGAAAGTCCTGAGGATCCAAACCCTGAGTGAGCATTTACTACTCCCGTAGAGCCCCAAGCACATAGGTCAGGCATCCCCAAAGAACTAAAGGTATACAATATAAACTATCATTTTAGGTGTTAAATGTTCCTTTGAAATAGCTTCCCCAACCACCTACACCGCACATTCTTAAGCTCAAGCCATGGAGTCATCTTTAAATACACAAACTGGATGAAAATAAATCAGGAATTGTGCTCCAGAAGCACACACAAAGGCTCCTCAAGATGACTCACATAAATTCATGCTGCACTGGTACATGTCAGTATAGAAAAGCTATTCCTATCAGAAAACCTATCTCTAGGCTTCTCAAATTAAACACCTATTTCTGAAGGAAAAAAACCCAACAGTTTTACTGATCTTCCACGTCAGACAAGAAACCACCCTGAGCTGTGTACAGGGCCCAGCCCTTCTCACACCCTGCCTGTGCAACCCTCTAAACCACACTCCTCAATGAGCTGTAAGATTTCTCAGCTGCAGTATTAAACTCCTTCAAGTAGTTAATCTTAGGGACTTTTCTACTGCTTATTAGTTAATGAGGTAAACACGAGGAGAAGAAATGTTTAATGAGAGACTTGGTGCTGCCAGCTGTACTTTCTTCACTCCTCTGCCTCCATCAGAAAAGACGTGGCAGTGAGAGCTTTAGTTGCTCCAAAAGATACTAAATCAGCACTAAATTACCTACACACTGGCACAGACATATATACATATATATTTTATATCTATATAAAGGAAGAGACCTTCACTTTGAGGCAGCTGCAACAGCCAACACCTTAAGCTGCAAGAGCATCCAGGGGAAATGACTTCCTCCACAGCTTACTCACTCTCACACACACACACAAAAAAAAAAAAAACTTGCCACGTCAAACTTCCCACAGACAGCATAAACACAGAGGTCGTGCTGATTGAGACAGGAACTGTAACCACAAGCAAAATAATGCAAGTTTATCGATCACAGTTCCAGAATCTATTTAACACTGAGCATATTTAATCTCAAGACAGGCATATTAACCAACACACCAAGAAAAGTTTGGAGGCACCACCCAAAATATCAACAGAAAAATCACCTAAGGGTTTAGTGATCAGGTTCTAACAACAGACATACAGATTCACTCCGGAAACTGCATGAGATGAGCGGATCTGCTAAACCCAGATCTTCCCCTAGGTTTATTCACTACAAGCATCTCTATGCTGAAGGACAGGAAAACTTTTTTCCTCCCTGTCTCTGTCAACATTAGTTTGCCTTACACCCTATAGCCTGGGGAACAACACTAACACTGAGGAACAACTCCAGAATTTAATTTACCGCTATTACAGAGTAGGTCGTCATCTTTTTCGGAGGATTGCTGTATATATGTGAGTAAAGATGTAAAACTCTGTCTCTGAATGTAGGACAAGAGAATCAAAACCAGAGGCTGGCGTCCTTGGCTCACTGAAGAAGAACTATTAACTTTGTATTTCTTCGGAGACACTGTGCTCAGTAACACATCATGTAGGAAGAGGGGCTGTCCCTTCCCAGGGCACGCTGCAATCTCAGTCTGGCAAACAATATTTGGGGGTGTGCACATTTATCTACACGCGCACACACACACACACACATACAGAACGCAATTAAAATACATATATTGGTTTGAGGGTTTCTTTTCAGTACCACATTTTGAGCTAAGCCATGAAAGCAAAAGCTGAAGTTTTCTCCACTCAGTGCAAAGCCTGCAAAGGATTTCTGTATTTTTCCCGTGCATGTAACATTTCTATCTCCACGAACTGCGCGGTTTCAGCCGCCGTAAGCTCGCAACAGGTCTGGCTCCGCGGCCGGTCCCACCGCCCGCCCCGCGTCCCGCGGCTGTACCTGTGACCTGTGCCCGCCCGGGGCCGCGTCCCGCCGCCGCGGGCTCGGCGCGGGTGCGAGCAGCGCCGCGGTTCCCCGGTGCTGAGGGAGGGAGGGAGGGCGGCCGGAGGGCGGCCGGAGCCCCCGCGCTGCCCCCGCCCGCCCCGCGGCCCCTCAGCCGGCGGTGCCCGTTGGGACCGTTACCTGGGGCCGCGCGCCCGCTCCCTCACGAGCCCGAGTGCCACGTCTGAGCCGGCCCCGCGCGGGCGGCGCCTGCGCAGTGCGGGCGGCGAGGCCGCGCCCGCGGCCGGGCTGTGCCCTCACCGCCGGGGGCGGAGGGCAGGCGTGGGGCTGTCACCGAGGATCCGCGTTTGCCTCAGCGACAGAGGGGCGGCAGTCTGCTGTAAACACAGGGGTGTCCTACAAACACGATACTTCTCCTCATAAGTGCATTAAAAACAGAACCACAGCATCAGTTAGGTCGGAAAAGACTTCTGAGATCATGGAGTCCAAGCTATGACCAAACACAGCTGTGTCAACTAGGCCAGGTCCCTCAGTGCCACGTCCAGTCTTTCCTTAAGTGCCTCCAGGGACGGTGACTCCACCACCTCCCTGGGCAGCCCCTTCCAATGGCTAATCAGCCTTTCTATAAAAAAGTTCTTCCTAATGTCCGACCTAAACCTCCGCTGGTGCACATTAGAACTATGTCCTCTTGCTCTGTTGCCAGTTCCCCGGGAAAAGAGGCATATATATACATACATATATGTATATGCATGTGTGTGTTTATTTATTTTTATATATGTTTTACATACATATGTCAGATATATAGATACATGTATAATATAAATAAATACATGCATACATATACACACATATACATGTGTATGTATGTGTGTATATATCTATATATCTGACATACGTATGTCAGATATATAGATGTAAATATATATACATAAAAATAAATACATACATATACACAAATACATGTGTGTGTATATGTATGTATTTATTTATTTATTTTTACATATCTTTGTATCTGACATATATATATTTATATAAATTATGCCACCCAAGTATCTCTAGTGAAATATGACACAGGTACTTTACCTGTTTGCATATGCACTGGTTTTAGTTACTGTTAAGGTGCATTTAAAAAGTCTGCCTTGGTTACAGGATAGTCACTGTTTTTTCTAATTAACAAAGTAGAAACATGGTAGTAACATGAGAGAGACTGGTGGTAACATGAGGAAGATGTATTTGTGAAGTTACTGTTCCTCCCAGTCACAAACAAACATTAGTTGTGGTGCAAAAGTAAAAAAAAGGAGAGAAAAGTGGCAGAGGATTCATAACAAGAAAAAAAAAGCCATTGCTCACAGAACCATAGAACCATAGCATATCCTGAGTTGGAAAGAACCCACAAGGATGATCAAAGTTCAGCTCCTGGCCCTGCACAGGATAGCCCCAAGAATCACACCATGACAGCTGCATAACTCACATGCATCAAATAATATAAGCTGTTTCTCTACATGTTATCAGAGCCAATACTGTTGGACATGTCAGGGAAGATCTAGAACCTTTCAAATCTCTTCTAACTGTCTAATCAGAAGGGAAAATTTCATCCCCGAGGTGGCAAGCATCAGTTAAACTGGATGTGGTTTTGGCTGCAGGGTATCAGTGACTCTTTCATAAGTAGGATGCAAACCAGTGCCTTTCATCATCGCTGTGCTGTAGTTTCACCCCTCATCCCTATCTCTTTGGCTGGGACACATTTAAACGGACACATTAAAGTTATGCAAAATTCTTTTGAAATACAATGCCACTGAGGAAAATAACGGTTTTAAGTTTGGACATTCCCTATTTTATCGTGGAGACAGGCAGTCACTGTCCCACCAGTCCTGCTCTGTCTAGCCCAAAGCTATTAACAGTAAGCAGCTGTGGATAATTCAGCACTGGAGAACCATGCACTTACTTGGCCACTGAATACTTACTATCAGATTTCTCCTCCCCGAAATCAGCTCCAGTGAGACCGAAAGATGAGATCAGCAAAAGATAGCAGGGAGAAGCTGTGGCATTGGCAGTTCTTCCCTTATTTCAGGCCCACTCTGGAAATGGATCAAGACACCTCTTTTTTTTTTGAGGATGCTTCTGTTGTCCTTCAGCCTGGAACACTGAGACAAAAGGCATGCAGCTTGTCATAGTCTGGATGTTTTGAAGCTACAAGTAGTATTTGTCTACAGTTTCCACCTATAACATTAAAAGTAATTTAAGGTTTTCCATTTCAGAAACATGGAAACATCATTAAAGATTTAAGTGTGTTATTGGTCTGGAAAGTAACTTCATAAAAATGAGATTGCAGGATTGCTAAACTGTTGTAAGTAATTTTATTAAATGACTTAGTTTTAATTAAACTGTACCTTAAAATCTGAGAATCTGACTAGTTTGTTCTCTGTCATTGTCAATAATGATGATCTTGTAGGTTAAATTACTTTTCTTAACAATCAGTTTATCCTGAAGTGGGAACTATGCAATGCTGCTGAAATCTAATGTGATTTCACACATTTCAGACCTAATTTGGAGTTAGTACTGGTGAAGTAAATAGAAGAATTTGTCTAAATCTATATGATTTTTTCATCTATATTAAAAAGCAATAAATCCCCTGCCTCTAAAATCTCACTTTTAAAGTCCTCACTAGAATTTTTTCTGTTAGTTCTGAAACTAAAGAAACCCACAGTCATCCATCAGCTTGGGAGATAAAAGCCCCTCATGGACAAACCACGCAGAACTCATGTCTCTCTCTCTCACAGCACATCACATTAAGACAATGGGTGATTCCAGGAAACCCAAATCCTATCCTAACATTTTCATTTACAGGATGCCCTTAAAATACAGCCCTGGCACAAGCTGCCAGGAGGAATCAGAACAACACCACGATACATTTGAGCTATGGGCATGTATTTCTCACAGTGATGGGATGGCCACAGCACAGCTTTTGTAGCACTTAACATTGGCTGCGGTAACAAATCACAGTGACCAGACAAATATCTGCAGCTCAGTGCTATAAGAATTTATTTCTAGATCATAATATATATTCTAAACCTTTCTCTAGGGGAAGGTGTGGGCAGTACTGGGTGTGTTCTCTAAAGAAAAAGACTGTTTCATCACAAGGAATAGTTCATAGAACTCCAAGGATTCTACATTTTAAAAGGCTTTTTTAGTTGTTATTGAAACTGTTTTCCTCCTTTTAATTTCATATGTATGTCCTTCAGACAAAGCAATAGGTTTGCTTTTGCACAACATCAGAAGGGTCCTAAAAGCTATTTACATACTTTCTTTTCCTGTCTTGCTTACATATAATCACTAAAATCTTCTTTAATGTTTTGTCTACCGTGTAGTTAAGATCTATGGAAACCAGTTTACAGCTTAGTGTAAAGTGCTTTACAAGAAAAATGGAAGTTAATATTTACAACGGTTGTATTTGTTTAAAATGAAAGCAAAGACTTTGGTAAAAAAAAAAGAGCAATCAAATTTTGAAGGGATTATGTTCTTCTGGAGAAAAAAAGTGTGTTAGATTAAAAAATGCTACATGAAGAAAAAGAAAAGATGTAATATTTCAGGAATCAGAACAATACTGTAAGAAGAAATACATCAGTATTGTGACTCAGCTACATTTCTAATATAAAAAACTATGCACAATGAAAACCTAATTGAAGGTACAACAGAAGTGAATACTGATATGTCTCAGTGGCAATTAGAAAATATTATTGGACTACACCCTCTAAACACTGCCCTAAATAGAATGAAAAGAAAGCAAAGGGTTTTCAGAACATCAGACTGATGTAGCTGCTGTTATTCAGGGAAAGTAATACAGTAAAGTTAAAATCCAGGGCATACATTCATTGCTGTATATATTTTCTGACAAATACTTTGTTATACCCTGCAGAGGATATTATCTAAAACCACTTTCTTTCCCTGAAACTCAGTAAAACAGAAATTTTTATAAAATGCTCTACTAGTCCACATGTGATCAGTTCTGTGCAAGTCACGCATTACAAAAGCAAATGTGCTTTAGAAAACTGACTGTGGCTGCTTTCTGCATAAAAAGACTTTCTGGTTAGTTCAAGCCTCTGGATTTTTCAATATCTGCAAATTGTGAGGCTCCTCTGCTTATTCTCACTGACTTGCTATTTTGGTTTTCTAATGAAATCAACATTCTGGCAACTTGATCTGGAACATTTACAGGAGATAGATACAGTGTTCTGAGAAAACTGCTGGGATGTTTCAGTTGGGGAATTTCAATTATCTTTTTAATTAATTTACTACTGTCTAAGATGCATGAGAGTGGAAAATTGTACTACCTGTTCCTAACAGAAAAAACCCCCATGACTCGATTATCCTGCAGTAATTGCTACATAATGAACTGTAACATAAAAACAAAGATGAGAACTGATTATAATCTGATGAATAATGTATCACATATAAAGCACTGTGAATAAACATTAAGCCATCAGTCTGAGAAAGGACAGCAGAAAGTTAAATGATGTTTCCCATGTTTGCTTGCCGAATGCATGGAATTTCTCAAATGTAGATATATTTCACTTTTACGTTCAAAAGCATCTGCAGCAGCTTCACTTTCATTGGCTTTCATGTTACATTCCCTGCTCGTGTATAAAATTTCTGCTCTATTAGTGTAGTCTTGCTCCAGAACAATACTCAAATAAACTTACTAACATTAAAAAGAAGAGTAACTGAGTTAACTCTTCATAACAAAGTATTTGATTGATTTACTCAGTTTTCTTATTGGAAGACCTGACATGAATTTAATAACTCAGCTGTGTTTCAGCCAGTGCTAGTGATCATTAACACACTGTGAGTGTAATCCTACTCTTAGTAAGTCATATTTGTTCCATATAATTGATTGTCTACTGCTACTCATATGGTATTATTTCTGACAAATGCTCAGAACTGTGGAACCTGTTGTATAAGAAAAACAACCCTAAACAAAATCACTCAGAAATTACTTAGAATCCAAATACTTCTATGTGTGTTCTTGCTCACATTCACTGTGCTTCTTTACACCACCCGTAATGTGGAAGTAAAAAATCTTCTACCTGAGCATGGCAGAGGTATTATATACCAGTAAAGCATCTCTGATATTTGTAAAAATATCAGTCTGGATTACAAAACTATTTTTCAAAATACTGGGTTTGTGTTATTTGGGTACCTTTAGTCTAAACCTATTGACATCTTCCCCATAACCAGCAAAACTAA